CGGCCCCGCGGGGCCCCATTTGACATCCCTAGCGACCCACGTCGGATTGAACGTACCTACTTTATCATGCTCTGTTTTGCGTACTGTATTTTGAGCCTTTTGGTAGGAGCATTTAATTAATTTGTCGATTAATTTACATACAATTAATATAATATAAATATTTTTATAAATATATAATAATTTTTATAAATATATAATATAAATATAAACAATTTAATTAAATCTTATATATTGTATATACGATTATATTTTTAATTTTAAATAAATAATAATAATTTTTTAATAAATATAATATAAAATGTATTAAATCAAAAAAAATATTAATTAGTGTCTATAATAAAAATAAAGCTAAAAAATACTTATTTATCTTAAAATTAAATAAAGAAATGATATAAACTAATTTGATATAAATTTTTAGTAACAAATGGAATAGTTTTTAAATTTATTTCTTAATATATGTTATTTTTATTCTATAAGTATGTTCTTTTTATCCTATAAGTCATGATATAATCGTTTGTAATAAAAAAAAATTTTTTGTGGTCTCCTAAAATTTTGAATCGATACCGCCGTCCAGGAAATCTCCTGACACGACGTGACATCACCACGACGTCGAGTTTCTGAAGTTGTTTTCTCTGTGATCTTTCTGCATCACCACAAGAAGCCATGCACGGAGGATGACTTAGGGGGGAGCGGAAGAAAAAGAATTAATATACATCCTAGTTTTATTATTATTATTATTTTTTAATATTACAAATTGTGGTGGAAGTAGTCAAACTCAGTTTAAGGGGTTACGGTACACCTATTAAGGGTGGTAAGGTCATTGGTTGGAGAAGTTTATATGCTAATATATATTATAGTTATTTGTAATTAAAATTATTAAAACACTTACGAGAAAAAATCTTAATTTTAGCTGTGCTTCTTTATTTTTGCCTTTTAAAAAATTTTTGGTAATTTTAAGGTTATGTTATTTTTACACAATATATAATAATATAAGTTAAAAACTAAAAGTTACATAAATTACTTTTTAAAAACTTTACTTCATAATTATAAGTTCAAAGTTCAAAGTTCAAAGTTTTTTTTTATCAAAAGAATGATTAGTTCTTTCTTTTGTTTACCAAAAAAAATCCCAAAAAGAGTAAATATATTTTAGGATAGATACTAAATATAATAGGCCAATCAACCATAAATTTAAACTTTAAATAAAATGACAATAAACTCTCTATAAAATTTATAATTAACATGCCAATTTGACAGGAGGGCGGGAAAAAAAATCAGAAATGGGAGAAAGGAAAAGGAGGAATGTTATGGACGGTAAATATTAATTAGAATAGTTAGAAATTTTATTACATATAATAGATATGTATGGTGTAGCTTACATTATTTTATAGATGGATACTTGTTATTTTCACTTTTTTTTTAAACTTATAATAAATTTTAGTAAATTATAATTAGTTAGTGAAATTATATTAAGTATATTATATACTTATATTTGTAGATTCTAGAAAAAAAAAAAATTGACCCTTTAAACATTTTGCTCAAGCCCGTCACCGACCACAAGGTTAGTGATCAGAGTAGTTTGATTGATTCTGAAAGCACTATTTCTCGAGAGAAAAGTTATTGGGCGGTGCCGGTAAGAATGGGAAGAGTTATTGTGGTGTCAATGGCTACAAAAGCTAAATGCCATCTCTAACTTTATTGAAGTAGGTACGAGGAATATTAAACAAATGCTTAATGAAGAAAAGTACAGAAGTGGGCTATATAGCTGTTCAAAACATCTGTCTTCGCGGCCCTACATCAGGTGCATCCAAATGTTGTCCGACGGTAAACATAAATATCTCACAAAATATACCCTATTAGTTTTAGTATAACGTTATTTTATTTTATTTTTAAATTAAAAATTTAGAAATAATTTTTATTTTAATATATTTTATTTTTAAAAATTAAAAAATTTTAAAAAAATTATAATAAAATAAATAATTAAAACTATAAAATTGTAAAATTAAAATTAAAAAATTTTTTTTTCTCAAGATATAAACAAATAACTATTATTATATTAAGACAGTTTTAATAAAAAAATTTTAATATTAAAAGACAAGAGAGTAGTTTTATCAAATCAAAAATTATAGAGTATAAGGCACTCATCCCAAATATTTCAACGAAATCCAACACCTATCTTCCGGTGTGCCTTTATGCTTTTTTTTTTTAATATTAATTGTATAAAA